GCCAGATCTGGTCTCCGTCCAGTCTGTCTGACTGAGCGGGCCCTTGTTTAGAGCCGCTAGAAGAGACTGACTGTCCGGAATCACAAGCAGGGTTTTACGCCTGTGGCGGATACGAGGAATCATCAGTTTCTCTAGGGCTAGAAGCAGCGCACGGGATTCCGTCCTGTAGCTGCATGGGCGTGCACCGCAGTTTATGCTGGCCTTTTCTGTTATCTCCGATGAGTTGAGGGATGAAAGCAGTATTCCAACCCCTGCTGACTTGGGAACGTCGACACCGCCATCGGTCGCAAGTATCCACGAACGATGGCTGTGCAGCGCCAGAGCCTCTTCGCTGACTCTGCGCTTTTCCCGTATCAGCTCTTCTTCGTCCGTTATTGAGTGGTCTATCGGAAGTTCCACACCGATTGTGACCCGGTGAGCGGAGGCCGCAAACCAGGGAGGAATGGAGCTGCGAAAGAACCGCTCTTCGCGTGGTGAGCTCTCGGTGATGCCATAGTCCTTTGTGTATGCGTCTACGAAGGCATATAGCTCGTCCCGAGATAATGGCGAGATGCGGAAACCGGCGCGAGGCGGTGGCTCAGGCGGGGGTCTCCGCATCCAGTCCATCTGACATGCGCGTGTGTTCTCAAATATTGAGAGTCGTGCGCGCAGGCAAAGGACGTGAAGCGGCGGCATATTAGCCTCCAGCAGTGCGGATTCCGGGTCGACAGTGCTCGGAACTCCGCCGACAATGCGTGCTAGGGTTGCGTACGTCTTCTGCATCTCATTCTTCGCTGAATCCGTCGCTACTGCCCATATGAGCTCGCTGCCATAGCGTAATTTGGAGCACCGTATCCAATGACGAACGTGCGTCGGTCATGTGGAGATGGTCCCGCCTCTTCGTGCGCTATGCAGCGTAGCTGCGATATCCGTTGCGAAGTGGCAGAGCATTGCTTGGAGGCCGCCACATTTAGCGTCGGTCGTGGATCGAGATCCATGCCGAGAAGCTTCGTAGTTCGCGATGCCCCCATGGTCATGAATGGGATTTGACATCCAGCCACTACCAGGGGCCACCTTCCTTCACGATCATAATCTGACTCCGTGTGGGGGGAGGGTGTGAACCAAGCGGCTTCACGCATTGACGGGTTGATGGCCAGGCCATTTTCCTGACTCCACGCATGCAGCTTTTTAAGAACCATGTTGGCAGTGGGAATGGCGTCTTCCCGGGACTGCCCCTTAACGATAATAGAGAGGTCGTCCGCATACATGTCTGCTGTGACACCCGCAAAGCTGTTCGGCAGACTGAGAAGTGGGTGTACGTAAAGGGAGAACAAATACGGTCCCAGCACGGACCCCTGAGGAACTCCTCGCAGCATGGGACGCCGATCGCTGTGTCTGTGGCCAACTCGTGTCTTCGCGTAGCGACCACATCGAAAGTTTCTAAGCCACCTTCTACAATTCACCCCCGGAATATTAGCCAGCAAGCGACTGAGGACTCGATGATCTATGGAGTCAAAAGCCTTGCTGAAATCAACCAGCACCAGCAGGGTCCGATGGGGTCTGTAGTGGAGTTGATTGCCAATACCGCTCTTCTTGGGAAGGCTCACTTGGAAATAGTGATTTCTATTATGCTCCACTTCGTGTATCAGGTGTGCCAGCTGCATCGTCGTGGTACGCATACTACGATATGCATACTGGTGGGGGTGCGGCGTCCACACCCAAAGCAATCTCTTCAGTACCATTTTCTCAGCAACCTTACTCACAATGGAGGTAAGGCTGAT